TGTATTCAGTTGAATCGACTCTTTCACATTCATTTGATTCACAAAAGAGTTGAGCGCTAGTCTCCATTGGTGTTGAAATGGGATTACAATCCTTCATATTCATTCTTTCGAGAAGTTTACTGATAGCTGCCTTTTGATTAATGCTGATGTATCCTGGTTTATCCTGGTTTATTTCAACGCCTAATATGTGATGAGCTTTGCCTTTATCTACTAAGTCTAAACGAGTAGATAATTCTCCCTTAATGAATTTTAAGTAATTAATATCATCAGATGAAATGAGCAAATCATCAACATAAACGGCTAAGATACTTCTTCGATTTCCATCAGAAATTGTGTAAAGACAAGGATCACTTTTCATCCTTTTATAGCCAATATCAATTAAAACTTCATTCAGTTTGATATTCCATTGTCGGCCACTTTGCTTCAATCCATAAATCGACTTTTTCAATTTACAAACTAATCGCTTATCTTTATCAGAGAAGTATCCTTCAGGTTGTTGTAAATAAATATCTTCATCCAAATCTCCATTGAGATAAGCAGTGGTCACATCCATTTGATGTAAATGAAAATTGTATTTGGCACAAAGAGCGAAAAGTATCCGTAGTGATGAGGTTTTGACAACTGGAGCATAAGTTTCATTATAATCAACACCAAATTTCTGACTGAATCCTTTGGCAACGAACCTTGCTTTGAATCGATCAATTGTTCCATCAGGTTTGTATTTAACCACAAATACCCAACGAGACCCGGTAGCTTTACGATCTTTAGGTATTGGAACAAGATCCCAAGTATCATTACTGATTAGTGAATCGTATTCTTCATCCATGGCTCGTTTCCATTCGTTTTTCCATTTACCAGATAATGCCTCGGAAACACTTCGAGGAATAGGGACTACTTCAGGTTGGACGGACATATGGCCAAGAGTGTTGAAGATTTTTCTCGGTCGACCTGGTTTACCAGTTCTTTCAAATTTCGGTCTTCCTCTTGCTTTAGTTTTAGGCAAATCTATGGATACGTCTGGGTTAGTTTGATTGGTTTCAATTTCAGCTTCTTCATAATTGTTTAGACTAGAGTCTTGATTACTAGTGTTCATTGATTCAAGCTCAGAAGTATCCGTTACCAATTGGTCATTATTCTGGATACATTCATCCTCAACTGGATTATCAAATGAAAAAGATTCATTACTAGCAAGTTCGACTGTTGATTCATTGATATTTTGAGGCTCGATAAATCTAACATCACGACTCTTAGTTGTTGCTCTCTTAGATGGATCATACAATTTGTATGCTTTTGAATCTTCGCAATATCCAATGAATATCATCTCGATAGCCTTCTCTTGAAATTTGTCCAAACAATTTGATTTATTCAACGCATAAGCTTGACTTCCGAATATCCTTAAATGAGATATTGATGGCTTTTTCCCATACCAAGATTCAAATGGCGTTTTATTAGCAACTGCTTTAGTACAGCATCTGTTTCTAATGTAAGCTGCAGTTGAAATAGCTTCAGCCCAGAAGTTTGATTTCAAATCAGCATCAGACATCATTGACCTCGCCATTTCCACCAAAGTTCTGTTAAACCTTTCAGCGATTCCATTTTGCTGAGGAGTATTGGGAGCAGATGTTTGATGGATAATGCCATGTGATTTAAGATGAGCTTGAAAAGCTCCATTTGTATATTCAGTGCCATTATCTGAACGTAAAACCCGGATACGTCTACCTAAATTGTTCTCAACCCTAGCTTGGAAATCTTTAAAACACTGTAAAGTTTGTGTTTTATACTTCATCATGTATACATGAATGTATCTTGAATGATCATCGATAAAAGTGACGAAGTATCTGCTTCCACCTAATGATGGTGTACGCATTGGTCCACAAACGTCTGAATGTATGACATCCAATAAATTATCAGCATGACTTGATGACCTAGCAAAGGGTAAACTACTTGATTTACATTTAAGGCAGGTTGAACATCGGATACTTCCGGATACGTCAGCTTTTAAATCAGTAACCATTGAATTATTTTTCATAAATTTGATTGTATCAATATTAACATGTCCTAGGCGACGATGAATCAACGAAAGATCAAGCTGTTCTTTAATATTGTTCAGCTTTGCTTTTGGTCTTGATACACCAATGAACAAATCATTCTCCATCCTGAACTCAAGTATTATTGAACCATTAATATCATAGATCTTTCCTTTGTCTCCAAAAAAATCAACACCATAACCTTGTTTGATGACCTTTGATACAGACAAGTAGTTACAAGTTACCGAAGGAACATAGAAAACGTTTTGTAGTCTGAATTGTCTTCCATTAATAGACGTATCCAATGTACCAACACAACCAACAGGACACTTTACCTCATTCGGTAATTCAACTTCACCTAATTTAGGCTTGGATACATCTGTTAAATCATCACTATAACAGACAATATGAGATGTTGCACCACTATCAAGTATCCAAATATCCTTATCACGATACTTTTCACCAAGAGAAAGTAATTTAGGTTTATCGTTGGATTTGGCATGATGTGGATTAATGGTCTTGGATTTAGGACAGGCATTTGATTTGTGTCCTTCCTCTTTGCACTTGTAGCAAAAAATTTTCCTCCTACGACCACGTTTATTTCCATCTCCTTTTACCAGTAAAAGCTTGGACGTATCCCCAGGAACAGAAAGATGAGCACGTCTTTCTTCCTCTTCGATCAACTTGGTCTTCAATATGGTCAGGTTAGGTATCTCATCTCTTGATGTAATAGCGACCACAAGGTTTTCATAAGCCTCTTCCAAACTGACTAACATCATCACCGAATAAGCATCATCAGGTAATTCGAATTTCTGGTTGTCGAGTTGATCCTTTAGGTTCATGAAGGCTTCGATGTGTTCAGTCATACTTTGACCTGGAAGTATCCTCATTGTAACAAGTTTACGGAACAAATTCACCTTTTGAGCTGGACCACTTGGCTCGTGATGTATCCGTAAAGCTTCCCAAGCCAGCTTAGCTGTGATACAGCTCTTAATTAACCGGTACTTTGAAGGTTGCAAGCATAGGGTAATTTGGGCTAAAGCTTTTCGATCACGACGTTCCCAATCTGTAGCTTCTTTCTCTGGTTTATTAGTTTCAACCACATCCCATAGATCATTGTTGATCAACAAACTCTTCATGGATACTCTCCAGGATTCATAATTAGTATCACTGAGTTTTTCGATGGATGAAAACTGAGAAGACATAACAGTAAGAAAAAGGTGGGATACTTCTCAAAATTGAGACACTAAATTAAAAGAGGGTAACCACGCTCTGCTACCATGAGAGGCGTGTTAACAAAATGAAATGGTTTATTTTAATTTAGTGAACATAAGATGTTAGTAAAAAACAATGTTGATGTAAGATTGGTTGATGACTGAAAATAATAACTGATTAAGATTGTCAGTGGACAACTGGTTTAAATACTATTGACAAGCCTAACGGCTTAATTCAAAATATGTAGTGTAGTGTGCAAAAAGATTAACGTTGGTTCAAGGGTAAATAGGTGAAGGGTTGTGTAATTTAGATGGATACGTCTCACAAAAACTGTCACCAATCAACAATAAAAAACGCTTGAAACCAAACCAGCTTCCATCGCTCATCAATATGAGTCTCTTTGATTCAATTCCAATGCATTGAAAAAACTCACAATCAACAGAAAATTCATTAAAAAAGTAAAAATAAAAAAAACCAAAATAACGAGATAAACCCTTAGAAAGCAGAAAACCTTTGAAATCAAAACATTCAGCATAATCATTAAACTCGAACATTTTCCTTTTTCCTCTCTTTTCCACTTGAAATGTTGAACTTTATCAGACGAAAAAGTATGATAAAAATGTAAGAGTAAAAGGATTATTTTACGAAAGGAAAAAGATGCAAAAAAGCAATGGACATTGAATAGTTTTCTCAGCATGATGATAAAAAAGCACTCAAACAGCAAGGTTAAGAGTACAATAATGTTTTGAAAGGTAGCAGATGATGGGCAAGAAAAGAGAGATAAAGAAAGAAAAAGTTCATTCTTAGCAATAATTCGAATCAACAAGAAAACTTTTACCGGAGAAAGGAAGAAGAAGAAGAAAAAGAAGAAAAAAATAGTTAAATGATAACACAAATTTCCAATTGAACCATTTGTATCATTGTGTCATTGTTGTTGAACATTTCTTCTTCTCTTTTCACTCTTTTCTTTTGACTTTGTGGTTTTGTTCAACTTTAATAATGTAAAATAAAGTCTATTGCATTCTAGTTTCGAACATCGTTTTCAATTTGAATTTCCACCGGTTAACCGTAAATAACTTGGATACTCAGTTTGATGCTTATTCAATGAAACAACCTTCAACTGACCAGAATCAATTGAACGCTTTTCATGTCAACTACAATCATTTGCTTTCAAAGTTTTTCCGTTTTTTTCGCTTTTTTTGCAAGAAAAAATTTATTCCATATTTCCAACAGTCGACAGTCTAATGAATTTGCAATTAAAATGGTTAAATAATGAAAATTGAATAAAAGTGTAAAAGGAAAAAAAAGAGAAACAAAAATGTACAAAATAGCTTTTGATTAATGCACATTTACAATCAACTCTGATGCTTCCAACAAAGCCTCGAATTGAACATTTTGCACATTTAACTGACAATTTTACAATTCAACTCAACGGTTCAGTAAACTTTTTCAAAAATTTCACTTCAATTTATTCGTTTCTTTTTCTTTCTCAGTTCTTCTTTTTACACAATAAAAACTAATAGACTTGCAATTACAGGGGAAAATGAATAAACTGAATAAAAGTGAAAACTTGGATCAAGGGAAAAGAAGGAAAGAAAAGAAAGCGAAACAAAAAATTTTCAACTTTTTGTTCTACATTTATTTGCTCTTTACCTTTAAACAAATTGTATTTTCATGAGTTTACAATTACAACAATCTAAATTCAGAGCTCATGTAGAAGTAAATTTTTTATCACTTTTTTCGTTTCTTTTTTTCCAGCTTTGGATGTGCTCATTTTGTCGTCGACGGGGAACTCAACCTGCAGTAGCTGCTCTTACCGAACTTGGTCTAATGATTCCTTCGTCGTTGGTTACAGGAAGAAGAAGGTCAACCATTGTCAACATGAAAGACTCGTTTCAGGTAAATATTGCTTCTCTTTTTGTGGACAGAATTTTTGACAGTAAAACTCGAGTCTACTCTATTTTGTTTATATATGCACATATTTACAGTTCGAACAATGAAAAAAATGTTTTTTTCGATTCACCATTTCATTACAATATTCACCTAAATATTATGTAATTTGCTCCACAAAAGCAATACATTTACTTTTGAAGTCAGTGGTTATCAGTTGATCCGAATGAGAAATGAGTAAAGAAGAGTTTTTTTCCGTCAAAAAGTAAACGAAAAAAGATGAAAAACGAGAAAAGAAAAAAAAGCCATTTTGTGGTTTTCCATTTTACCTTCTGTTTTCGTAACTTTCAAGTTGTAACTTTACATGTTTGGTATATCGATTGATACTGAAAAGCCATTATTTATATTTTTAGTGTGTGCAGTGGCAACACTTGGTTGAATGTAAATTCAACTCTTGCAACTTGTTAGTCGAATCTTTGCTTCAACCTTTCCAAATGATTGTTTTAATAATGTCTTTTGCTCCCAGTAAAGGTGGAAAAGTTGAAATGGAGGAAAAGTGAAACAATGTTGAAATGTATTCTTTGAATTGAAAATTGTATCATTCATCATCATGTTTCTCATTTGAAAATAACCATTTAAAACAGATAAACGAAAGATTAAAGATAGTACAAAATGGATTCGAATAGTTGAAAACTCTAACAATTTTCTACTTTTTGGATCAACTGATGTTGTCCTTGTGCTTCATCTAATTTTGGGAATAATTTTGCACTTGAAATTTTCCAATTGATAATAAAATGTTTGCTTCAGTTTTATGCCTTTTTCATGCATCTTTCATGTTATTGGTTTTTAAATTAAAATTGAGTCGAAAAATTGTTTCATCAATTTGGCACAATTGTGGTTAGCTTTTAAATTGAATTGTACATTTTTGGAAGAGTGTCAATGGTTGCCAGGTTTGATTATTGTTGCTTATTATATTTACTTGAATCATGAAGAACATCATGTAAAAGTGAAAACCTGTGTGAAACATGAAGGATAAATGGTGTGTTTGAAGTTTCATTTTTCATAATTTGCTTCAAGCATAGATTAAGGCTTCAACTGTGTATCACAAAATTGGGTGAAAAGAAAATGCTAAATATAATTAACCTTTCCCTAATTTTATAGATGATATTTCAAGTCAATATATCACATTTAGTTTTTCCTTTGCCCGAAGGAGGCAACCAATGAAAAGTGTAATTGTAAAGAGAAGTGCTTGTTTCATGAGAAACTGTTAGTGCCAAGCTTCAATAGTGATAAATAAACGACTGCATTAAATACAAATGGCAATTCCTTAATGAAAGAGAGTATTATTTTGTGTGTTATTCAATGAGGGAAAATTGGTATTTTCGTGTAAAGAATGCTTTGCAATGAAAATCATGGCGACAAAATGAAAACTAAAGAGTTCAATTATTAACTTGCTGAGTCTCCTTGGCATGGAAATTCTCATGGAATCACTTTAGATTGTGATTGGCTGTTAGTTGAACCATGATAAACGATGCGAGAAACATGGATTTCTAAATTGTTGAAAGCTTATTCCATGAGAAAACATTTCTAATCGTTTACAGATACATCTTCAATTATACCTTTAAAACAATAGTACCTTTCATGTTGAATTTAGATACTTTCAGAGTCACTCTTGTAACTAGCAAAAAAAACTGAAAGAAAAACTAAAATATGATATAAAGGGGGGTAACAGGTTATACCTGCAAATGGAGGGAGGTAACCAGAATAATTAGCTATACGTTATCTTTAAATTTGACCATAGACATGAACTATCATCTTAGCATCTTCATCGATATCATCAAATTTAAAGATAACGGCTAGTTAAATTTTCTTGTTACCTCCTTCATTTGCAAGCTATAACTTGTTACACCCTTTAAGTTGGATAAAAAGAAACTGAAGTAACCTGTGGGGAAAAAGTTTGAGACTTTATGGTTTTTTTCTTATATCTCGTAAGATAATGGCTGAATTTTTTTGAAAATTCAACATGACATAGTTGGATAGTGTGGCTTTGATACCTGAGAAATGCAGAATTGAAAAAACAAAGGTCACTCCACAATCATCGTTCAAACTAGGTAGAGAAAAAAAATGTTCAAAAAATTCTCTTTTGTACATGTTAAACTCTCATAGACAGAAACCAATTTTTGAGACTAATTCATATTAGGGTGTTCGGTAATGTATTGACCTGAGTATGTTCTTAAGCTTTTAGATAAATTTTATTGAAAGTAATTGCCATTGGCAGCTATGCAGCGTTGATATCGCTCAGGTAATTTCGCGATTCCCTCACGGAACCAATATGGCTGCTTTACTTCGAAAAAATCGTAAACTGAGCGCTTTAACTCATTTAGGTCAGAAAATCTTCTTCCCCTGAGTGACCTTTTCAGATTGGAGAATAAATAAAAGTCACTTGGAGCTAGGTCAGGGGAATAGGGTGGGTGCACAATAATTTTCCAATTCAGTTCTTTGATTAAGTCCATAGTAGCCGCCGCTTTATGTGGTCGAGCGTTATCTTGTAGGAAAACTGGCTTCCTACTAGACTTGCGGGACCCTCTCGATCGAACTAACTGATTAACCTCAACTAACTGAGCACGATACTCTTCACCAGAGACAGAGTGACCTTGATTTGTCCAAAAAATCTTTATGATGCCATCCCAAAAAACAGAGGCCATTACTTTCGGGTCACGACGGTCGGATGTTGGGCGCTTTGAGAGCTCTGAACGATCACTGACCCATTCCATTGATTCTGTTCGGGTCTCAGGATCATAAAGAGATAGCCATGTCTCGTCCATGGTGAATAAATATTCAATAAATGCATTCGGCTGCTTGTTATAAAGCGACAAACCTTCCTCGCAAGCTTGTTTTCTGGCTTTGATTTGGGCTTCATTCAAAACATGGGGAATGGTACCTGGAGTCAGCTTTTTTTGCCAAGTTGGTTCTTTACGATATCATGCATTGTTGATACCGATACCTTGGCTACTTCAGCTAGCTCTCGAATCGATGATTTTCTGTCAGCCTTTAAGGTCTTGGCTACAGCGGCACAAACTTTCGAATAATCGATTTCTTGTGGTCGTCCTGTACTAACGGCATTTTCTAACGATTTGCGACCGAACTTACATTCTCTCCACCAATGTTTGATAGCTGAATAACCGGGTGCTTGATCACCGTAGTGTTTGTCAATCTCCTTCACGATTTTACTCAAAGAATGACCTTTATCAAAAAGCACTTTTATATAATTTCTGACCTCAACTGTCGCCATCGCGGAAAAAAAATTGTGTGTAAAACTTAGTATTGCAATTTTAGCTATTTTTATATCTAGAGCATACGAACTATCATTTGCAATTAGATTCAGCTATTTAAAGCTATTGCAACCACGTGAGGTCAACACATTACCGAACACCCTAATATTTTGGATATTTGGTTGAATAACCTATTATTCAAAATTGATATCTTTCAAACGACTTATCCGAATTTTTTCGATCAGTCCTCAACTGAAAGGTCTTGAAGAGTTGCATCAGTTGATGTATTTTTTCAGCTACATCGAATGTTGTTCATGGGGTTATTCACGAAACCAGTTTAACATGTATAAAAGAGAATTTTTTGAACATTTTTTTTCTCTACCTAGTTTGAACGATGATTGTGGAGTGACCTTTGTTTTTTGAATTCTGCATTTCTCAGGTATCAAAGCCACACTATCCAACTATGTCATGTTGAATTTTCAAAAAAATTCAGCCATTATCTTACGAGATATAAGAAAAAAACCATAAAGTCTCAAACTTTTTCCCCACAGGTTAGTCTAAAACCGTCTTTTGTTAATCTGATAATCTAAAGTTTATTTTGAAAAATAGCAGAAACCACCTAAGAATAATCGAATATTTTGATTCTGAATTTTTTTATAAAAAATTGTTCAATAGCATTATGACCACATGATTAAATACAACACTATTGACTTTGATAATTGGCAGATTCACCTTGTTTTTATAGTTATCACTCCCAACCTCCAAACTATCGGTGTGAAAATTTTCTTTCTTCTCGATTTGGATCTCACCGATAAGATTTGAAACCATCATGACCGTCTGGATCAAACCTTATCTACACTGTAAACACTTTTCTTAACCAAGTTTCTAAAAATTGATGTACTGGGCGCATTTATCCTTGACGCTCGTGTGTGCTAATATTAACTAGCTAACTTGAGACTAATACCCAGATCTTGATGATATTCAGTCAACAGAGCTTCCCAAATCGAATAAACATGAATTCGAACACTCAAGGTCATCCAAGGTCACTCAGCTATTTAACCTCAGAAGGTCATATTCTGAGAGCTCCAACTTTTTTCGATTGAATAATGTCTGTCACGTGTTTATAACTCATTCCAGGGGAAAGTTGAACGAATTTTCAAAAAAAATCAATTAACTGAACTCGTATCTTTCCCATTTTGGATTTATGGTTCCTCAATTTGGAGGATTCTACTAACCGAATATCATCAAGATATGATTTTTGACTTTCAATTTATTAGCACAGACGAGCGTCAAGTATAAAAAAGCCACTCTTTCCTATTCCAATGTACCTTTAATATCTATCTCAATCTGATGTTTCGTTTAAGCCTAGAGGCAGATGGCGTAGCACGAATACAAAGTTGATTGAGGAGAGGGAATTTTATAACCATCGGTGATTAATCGATTACCTCACATTTTCCAGAAAAAGTAACAAATTTACAAAAGTTTACCTTCGATAGAATGTTAAAATTGCAAGAAACAGTTTAAATTAATCAAATGTAATTAATCATAGTTGAGTTTCCAATTTTTGCCCTCGATTGAACATTTTTCCTCTTGTATTGAGAACATTATGCTTCATTACCTTTACCTTTTCACCTGATCAAAATCTTAATCTAAATGAGATGCAGAGTTTTTTTTTGTTTTTCCATTCTCTTGTTACCCAACTCATATGCATGTATATAAATATCACAATTTACATAT